TCAAACCAACGAGGAGGCGATCCCAGCACCCCCTGATCTGGCGGTGTTGTGTCAACAGCTTCTCGAAGGCGCGCATCATTCTGTTGTTGGCACCATCCTCGGTGTGCAGCGAGCTGGCGTCAAGATTCGTTCGGTCGCGGGCGTCGTGCATCCGCCACCTATCGCCAATAGCTTCAGGGCTGAAGGAAACGTGTAGCATATTTTTTTCAATGTTGCAGCAACACGAGCTCTTTGTATTTGTCATTTTATCTTGATGCACCAAGCGGTTCTTTGGGAGGTTTCTTGCCAGCAGAATCTCTGAACAAGCAGAAAGCAAGTCCCCCAGGCGCGTATGCTACAATCCTGCAAAGTTGGGTCCGAATCTTCGCCGGCCGTCAACACGAAAACGTATGGCGTCGCTTAGTCCATTTGCGCATTGGCAACAACTCAACCTTGCACGTCTTTTTTTCTTCTGTCACATCCCTGGATTGAACGAGCACGTGGGACAGGATACCGGGTTTAAACCGGTTGTACATGTACACGGAAACAAACACCAACCTACAACTTAATTGTGTGAAGCACACGAGCAAGAGTGAACAACGGCTGCGTAAAAAAATGCAGACCTTAACCCCATTTAACGTTCAAAGATATTAAAACACCACAATGACAGCATAATACAAGCCAACAGACCACGGGGATTCCGCAAAAAAAACGTTGTCAAAAAAACATGGACGGTGCGTCGTCCGAGTTGTAGTCGCTCTCGGGGTCGCCACTCCCCCCGCCGCCGTCACTGCCGTCCGCGCCACCCCCACCGCTGTCGCCGACACTGTCACCTTGCCGTCGGCCTATCCCCCCTTCAGCAGCGGAGCTTACGCCGTCGCCGCCCTCGCCCTGGCGCCTTCCCTCCTCCTCCTCCACCTCCTCCACGCCCTTGGTGTTATTGCCGCCGACAACGGAACCCGGTCGGTCTCGCCCACGTGCGTCTGTCGCGGTCTCCATAGCCTCCCTCGGGCGTTTGTTCGACCCGGGTCTGGTCGATGCCGCTGCGCTGGCGGCGGCAACACCGCTGCCGATCGTAGCTGCTGCTGCTGCTGCTGCGGCGGCGGGGGGGCGAGCCTCCCGTTTGCGGCTGCTACCCCGGCCCGCGACGGCGCCGCCTCCTCCCGGCACCGCAATCCGAGCCCCCCGCCACACGGTGCTGCTCCCTCTGCTGTTGCCACCACCC